AATTAAATTCTGATTCACACAAAGTGGCTCCTTTATTCAGTAGCTAAGTTATTGACCACCTGTAAGTTTATTATTTGAAAAATATATGTACCTTTTTGCATTAATACTTAACTGTGCTTGATACTGCATGTGTGATTTTTGTTTGAGCACAATTTAAAAATCTACTGTTGTTTAAACACTGAAACACGTTAATAAATTGATTCATGCAGTATTAAATGTAGTTGCTTGAAAATTAAAAAAGTTTCTCACAACTTCTGTATTTAAAATAATTTTCTTACAATTTCTTAAAAATCATTTCATTTGGTATTTTTCAGTTGGACTCGTTTGGGATACCAATGTTAGTACCATTTAAGGAAGCCACCTTGTATTTGCGGTTCGGATGCTATCATACCGCATTTGCGCCGACACTCGGCATTGTTAACGGTGCCACCTATTTGCCGAGTATGGCCGAGTATGGGTCAGACTAGGTAACAACGCACGGGCCGCGAGCCGCCCGGTAGCAAAATCGCCTCTTTTTGCCGCTATTTAGCCGACGTTCGGTGGGGCGGACATGCCCTACTAGTCAGCCGCGGCGGCTGCCATATTCGGCCCGAACGTGGTATTTCGGTTTTACGCTTTCGGGCCGTTATCGCGCCGGAAGTTTGTGTTTATTGGGTTTTTATAATTATTCAATTCGATTTCGAATATCTGATTCCAAAATTAAATACTGTACCTTATTTATTATTTTAAAATAAGTATTCTAAATTAAAACGGTTTTCATTTCAATAAATATCGTCAAAATTGACGTTTCCAAATTTAATTATTAAATAGTTACTATCTTAATTTATTTATTTATAAGATACGGTAATTAATAACGGCATTTAGAATTTAGGATACACGAATAATTAAAAAATGTCGAATATTCGAAGAGAATATGATAATTAATCAAATAAATTTATAACTAAGTTAATAAAAGAACTGCATACTACAAATAACTATCTATATATTTATGTTTACCAATATTAATGTTTATTAATAGCAATGTGCCTAGCCATTATAAACTCCATATTATCGTATGTTACACAAAACTTAATCAGAAAGAATATTTATAAAGCGTTGGTGTTATTTTTACGATAAAATCTGTTGAAAACATGATTCATGCACTTTTTCCAGTCTTCTATTACTCAAGGTTAAATAAAAAACAGACGCCGTTTCAACCTTTTTTGCACTGGTTATATTTCATGTGTATTGCGGTATATTGAAGAGGAGTCCAAATTGTATGGTTCTTGTACGGAATTCAATTTATTGCTAATATAAATATATTGATAAGGGAAATTCCCAGATATCGAAATTTAAAATTAAAATGTCAAAATTGAAGTTAGCAAAGCTGGGCGGTTTTGAGACTAGAATAATTTTATTGTAAAATTATCAAGGTTGTTGTTTTGATTTTTTGGAAGATGATAGATTGTCATTAATTAATTTTTTAAGAGTTGTCATAGGGGATTTTATAATTTGCCAGATATAAATTTAAGGAAAGGACATTTAGAATTGTATATTGATATTAAAGTTGGAGAGTTGTAATGAAGAAAAGTTTTATTTGAATTTATGGAAAAAGTGTAGCAGTTAACAGAAGCCAGAATTAACCGGAGTGAAAATAAGAGTAACAGGAGATATTATAGGAAAACAACGAAAGGAGAACAGAGAAGCCAGGGCAGACAAAAAAACTAACAGTAGGAGCAGGAACATAACACCCAGGCCAGAGAAACAGAAGATTTTTTTTATTCAATTGATTTTTAATTATTTTTATTTTTTCTATACAAATTTATAAATTTTCTAGATTTTGAACCCGCCCAGTTTTGAGATTTGGTATTTTTTTGGATATTTTTGGAAATTCATAAACTGGGTGTTTCCATATCAGTGATCTCCTATTGATTTGATTTCATCGCTAGTTCCATTCTTTTTAGAACTTGGCTGCACCGTACTGATGAAGACCAATAGTCAGAAACACGTGTCTACGGTTTGCCTTTTAGGCATTTTTTTCATTTTTTTTGCGGTATTTGCCCAATAATCCTTTTATCTTTTATATTTTTTCACCGCACTAAACCTTCTCTTGTTTAGTTTCCCTGGGCTTGGATGCATCTTCATAGCGGCTATAACTGCCTCCGTGGCGACGCTAATATTTTTTAGTTAATTTTAATTAATTTTAATTAATTTTAATTAATTTTAATTAATTTTAATTAATTTTAATTAATTTTAATTAATTTTAATTAATTTTAATTAATTTTAATTAATTTTAATTAATTTTAATTAATTTTAATTAATTTTAATTAATTTTAATTAATTTTAATTAATTTTAATTAATTTTAATTAATTTTAATTAATTTTAATTAATTTTAATTAATTTTAATTAATTTTAATTAATTTTAATTAATTTTAATTAATTTTAATTAATTTTAATTAATTTTAATTAATTTTAATTAATTTTAATTAATTTTAATTAATTTTAATTAATTTTAATTAATTTTAATTAATTTTAATTAATTTTAATTAATTTTAATTAATTTTAATTAATTTTAATTAATTTTAATTAATTTTAATTAATTTTAATTAATTTTAATTAATTTTAATTAATTTTAATTAATTTTAATTAATTTTAATTAATTTTAATTAATTTTAATTAATTTTAATTAATTTTAATTAATTTTAATTAATTTTAATTAATTTTAATTAATTTTAATTAATTTTAATTAATTTTAATTAATTTTAATTAATTTTAATTAATTTTAATTAATTTTAATTAATTTTAATTAATTTTAATTAATTTTAATTAATTTTAATTAATTTTAATTAATTTTAATTAATTTTAATTAATTTTAATTAATTTTAATTAATTTTAATTAATTTTAATTAATTTTAATTAATTTTAATTAATTTTAATTAATTTTAATTAATTTTAATTAATTTTAATTAATTTTAATTAATTTTAATTAATTTTAATTAATTTTAATTAATTTTAATTAATTTTAATTAATTTTAATTAATTTTAATTAATTTTAATTAATTTTAATTAATTTTAATTAATTTTAATTAATTTTAATTAATTTTAATTAATTTTAATTAATTTTAATTAATTTTAATTAATTTTAATTAATCTTAATTAATTTTAATTAATGTTAATTAATTTTAATTAATTTTAATTAATTTTAATTAATTTTAATTAATTTTAATTAATTTTAATTAATTTTAATTAATTTTAATTAATTTTAATTAATTTTAATTAATTTTAATTAATTTTAATTAATTTTAATTAATTTTAATTAATTTTAATTAATTTTAATTAATTTTAATTAATTTTAATTAATTTTAATTAATTTTAATTAATTTTAATTAATTTTAATTAATTTTAATTAATTTTAATAGTTTTTATTTTTATATATATTTTTATTTATTTTGATTTCTATTTATTTTTATTTATTTTTATTTATTTTTATTTATTTTTATTTATTTTTATTTATTTTTATTTATTTTTATTTATTTTTATTTATTTTTATTTATTTTTATTTATTTTTATTTATTTTTATTTATTTTTATTTATTTTTATTTATTTTTATTTATTTTTATTTATTTTTATTTATTTTTATTTATTTTTATTTATTTTTATTTATTTTTATTTATTTTTATTTATTTTTATTTATTTTTATTTATTTTTATTTATTTTTATTTATTTTTATTTATTTTTATTTATTTTTATTTATTTTTATTTATTTTTATTTATTTTTATTTATTTTTATTTATTTTTATTTATTTTTATTTATTTTTATTTATTTTTATTTATTTTTATTTATTTTTATTTATTTTTATTTATTTTTATTTATTTTTATTTATTTTTATTTATTTTTATTTATTTTTATTTATTTTTATTTATTTTTATTTATTTTTATTTATTTTTATTTATTTTTATTTATTTATTTTTATTTATTTTTATTTATTTTTATTTATTTTTATTTATTTTTATTTATTTCTATTTTTATCCACAATTTTTTATTATTATTATTCCAATTTTTAAGTTCCTATCTTTAAAAAAATCGATGCCCCCTAACAAACTGTCAACTCTCTTCCCCCTTTCCCCTTCCCGCATTTGCACATTTCCCCCTTTACCCCTTTTTTCCCTTAAAATATTAAAATCCAAAAACCCTGAAAACACGTCATTATTTTTATTAATGATGAGTAGCTATGATTTCAAGTTCCTGCCTTTGAAAAAATCGATACAAACCTTCATTCTCCCCAGTAAAACAATGATAAAATTGGCTATTCTAGAATTATTGGTGATTCCTCAAGAAACCATGCACGAGTTATTTTAGAAACGGGACAAGCTATTATAAGGTGGTTGAACTGACTACGAAAATTAAATATTTTACTTACTAGGAACTACTAATCTTTAATACCTACTAATTATTAGTAGATAATAGAGCCGTAGAAAAAATATAATGTTGATTTCTTTCATTTCTATTAGTTTTATTTATAGTACTACTAGGGGTTATTTTAGCATTAACTGAGTTATAAAAAAATTCCATGTATGCTCATTTTCGTGATTGTAGTACTAACTTTCCATAAAAATCAGCATTAACTGAGGTTTATTTCAAAAAGGGAATGAGCGGCAATTTTTTTACGACAAATTTATAAGACAAAAAAGCGACAAATCATCCATATAAAAAAAATGTCATTTATGCTAATTTTCCAGTGCTTACTTCCATCAAAATTATCATTAAAAGGGGTTTATTTCAAAAAGAGGAGGAACGACAATTTTTTTTTCACAGCAAATTTTCGACAAAAAAGCGACAAATTATCCACACACAAAAAATGTAATTTATGCTCATTAAATTTGCACCTGCCCTGTGCCTGCCACGTTGCCATATTTTCATTCTTGTTTTGCCGTTTGTTATTGTCGTAAAAGTATCATTAATTGATGTGTGGTTATTTTCGTCAAAGTAAAAAAAAATGTAATATATCTATGGTCTTACCTGTAAGCATTCCTTGTAATACTTTCCTTTAAAAAGGCATGCAGATCTGTTAGCGTATGCTAAAGCCAAGTAGGAGCTGCCATTTTCAGCAGAAGCAATACTTTTGGTATACTTTTCCAATGCATTCAAGTAATTATCGCGTAAAAAGTAATCATTGCCTTCTATTCTTATTATATCTGATGTTATATTTGATTTTCTGTCCTGCGTGTCAGCAATTATGTCTTTAAAGGTTGTTAATTTGTATATATGATTATATACGAGATTCACACAATCAGAAGGGTCGGCCAATTTTTTTAATTCGTCTTCTTTGAAATATAATTCTGCTTCCTGATAAAGTATACAACACTTTGCCACAATTTTTAAATGCCTTTCTTTGAACATTCCCCACATTGTAACTTTATTGCCTACAGGTACAATTATCACTTAACTAAAATAAAAACTAACCTACACCACACCCACAAGCTACAATACCAAAAATATACCTGTCCTCAACTTCTAGGAATCCCAAAGCAGTAGCACTGTTATCATAGCACAAGGCTGCCAAAATAAAAATGACAAAATGTACTAAAAAAAAATTAAAAACGTACTAAAATCATCGATCTTCATATTAAGGGGCCTATTCAGTAACTCTGAACCAATGAACTGGAGTGGGGTAGAATGCTTGTCAATAGGCTTGAGATGCGACTCTATGGGCAAAGACAGGTTATTTTTCATCTCACTCGGGAGTATTTAAAACAACCATTTTCTATTTCACTTTATTATTGTCTGATCCACCAGCTTGTGGATTGAACAATAACAATGTGAAACAGAAAATGGTTATTATAAATACTCCTGAGTGAGATGAGAAATAAAAATGGCTGCGCTCATAGAGTCGCATCTTGTTCTATTGATACAATATGCACATTGGCTTTCTACCCCACTCCTGTTCATTGCTCTGAACGACGTCGTTAATAGACGAAAATCGTTCACAGACGACTTTTCTTATTCAGTAGACAACGATTGTCGTTGAAAATAGACAAATATGGTTGTAAAATTGTCGTTCATCAAAGATAGCCAAAGAGCTGTCGTTAATAATATGAAGTGTCGTTATAGTGATTTTTGCATTCCCTCTCAATTTTTATTGTGAATCAGGATGTGTTCTAAATAATAAAAGCACTTTTTTACAAATTTTACAACTAAATTGCCATTTACCTAATACAGCAAGTACAATTTGTAAGGAATTTTTTTCTAATTTATTTAATTATTTTAAAAATAAATCTGATTCAAAGTTAGGATTGCCCATTCAACCATTTACTATTGGATTCTTATTAACAGTGATGTTCCTAAAGTAGCACTGCGAAACAGTAACAAAACCTATATTATGGAAGTACCTATAATACTTCTCCGTAACCTACACAAATTTGGTTTGTCTTTCAAATCCAATAAATACAACTTGTACTGTTCTCGAGTTGTTTTTTGTATTCTTTTGGAATAGTTCTCAGTTTTTTTTTAATATATCCATACTCATTTAAATAAACCCTACATACAATACGACCAGCAAAAATGGCCCGCGAGAAACAGAATTTCTACGAATCGAGAATCGACCCCCTGATCGTGTTGTAGGTTAAGAACAATAATTAATATATTCTGAAAAACAAATGAATATATCTACTGGTAGAATTTTTATTTTACGTTCCAAAAAAATGTCAAATATACCAGGTGTTCAAATTAAAGTGTTACAGTTAAATACCGCCTTTTATAAAAAAACGAAAGTTTTATAGTTTTTGGGGAAAACATTTTGGCTGAAATCGTTTTTTATATAGCTAACCATAATGGCCAACTTTTTTTTCACGCAGCAAAATTTTCAAGTAGGTGTTACTCAATAAGTAGAAGTCCAATAAAAAAATGTTTCCCTTAGGGCCGATTCCACCGTTGTGTTAAACGAAGATTAAAATGACATTGTTAATGTAAAAATATCATTTTAAACTTCGTTTAACACAACGGTGAAATCGGTTCTTAGAAGTTTCTTATTTTTTTATGAACTCCAAGAAAACCTATGTAAAAAATAGGGTTCCAATTTAAAAAAAAAAAAATCCACCTCGATATGGCCATATTATGGTCAGGTATAAAAAAATTAATTTAGCCAAAATGTTTCCCCTAAAAAACTATAAAACTTTTGTCTGATACTTTTTTTTATAAAATGCATATTTTTGGCGATATTGAGCTAACTGATTCTTTAGCAATAAACTGTGAGTCCAAAAATAATATTCACTGACACTGACAGCAGCAAGCAAAATATCAGGTGCGTTTTAATCATCCGCTCCTGCTTCCGGAATTGTCGGTTCAGTCCACATACTTTGATTTTCTTTTACTATACGGAGAATGGTCGCACTGCGCAGCTTTCTGAAAGCCTTTTAAAAAGAGATAGAAAACTCCGCCATTTTGAACCCTTATTACGTGTTGCCTACATCTTGGCGCAATATTTTTAATAGGTGCGTTTTAATCATTCGCTTCTGCTTCGGAATTGTCGGTTTTCTTGTTTTAATCTGCCAGGTTAAAACGACTAAACCGACAATTCCGGAAGCAGAAGCGGATGATTAAAACGTACCTGATATTTTGCTTGCTGTTGCTGCTGTCAGTGTCAGTGAATTATTTTTGAAGTCACAGTTTATTGCTAAAGAATCAGTTAGATCACTCGGACCAGTTGAAAGTTCCAAAATAACATCCACTCCAGGGATACAAATTCAGGATACGGAGAAGACTGCTGTTTTATTATAGGCGGTTGTCATATATTGTATTATCCGAGTTGCACAGTGTATAAACTGAAACATTGAGATCAAAAGTGCCGACGCAAAGTGAGCGATCTGATTCTCTAGCTGTAAACTGTGTCACAGGGTTCAAAATGGCCGCCCCCTATGTTGGGCATGTCGGACCTCTCTCTTGCCTCGTATAGTAATCAAAGTATGTGGTTCAGTCGTTCTAAACTGATCCACACTCCACTCCATGATCTCTGAACGGTCAAAAAGGAACTTTTATTTTAACTTTTCGTTCCCGAACGCCCAAGGTTCGATTCCACCGGTGTGTTAAACGAAGTTTAAAATGACATTTTTACATTAACAACGTCATTTTAATCTCCGTTTAACCCCAGTATAAAGAACAATACAGTAGCGACAGATCATTTTTTATGAGGGGTCCATATTTTTCTGCGCATGTCCGAAAATAAGCGACAAAAACGTCAACGTCAATAGTGTCAATGCGATGTAAATGTCATTATTTTTGTTTGTTTGCAGTGCATATTTTGAGACATTTTTATTATTTTAGTTTTTCATTTATTGTGTGATATTTTTGAAATGGCTTCTGCACCTGATCAGAAAAGAAAGAGATGTGTCTATCGCCCTTGTCCATCTCAAACAGAGTAAACAGACAAAGGGACAAGTTATTTTGCATTTCCCATGGAGCCAGAAAGGTATGTCTTAAGAAAATACTTTCAATTTTTATATTTGAAAACCAAATATTTATTTGACAACCAAATATTTATTATTTAAATGTCTTGAGGACAATTTTTACAATTTCAACAAAAATAATGTAAAAAATATATAATTTCTGAACTACTGTCAATCGCTAAACATTTGTTATCAACTTTTTTATATTTTAGGGCCAACATGTGGTTAAGAGCTTGTAATAGGGAAGATTAGAGTAACATAGATGTGAACAGTCTTCATCGGAATTACAGGTTGTGTGAGAAACATTTTGAGAAGAATTGTTTTTCTAAAACATTGAACCGTAAACGTTTATTGCCTACTGCTGTTCCCACATTTTTTATCCATCTAGGTCATCAGCCAAATGTCTATCTTCTCCCTAGTACATCGACCAAGTGCTTCCTCTGTTGAGACTATCATTGAACATGAACGAGACATTTTTGAAAGCGTACCATGTGCAACCTTTGGACATTCTTAATCAAAAATCCTACCTCCAAATTATTATAATGAATTAGATGTTCTTTGATTCACTATGTCCATTGATTAAAAATGTTCTGATTGACTACATCTAATCAAAATATATATGTATTTCTTGTAAAGTAGCAAAAAGAAAACAAAAAAACGTATTTTGTGGTGTTATTATTTTAACTGTTCTTTAATTTTTGATTTGTTTCATTTATACAATATTTAAGCACTTAAACAATAATATATATAATCTTATAAACAGTTGTATGATATATATGTTAGGGAAATTAGGACAAGGATGATTAAATTCTATTTCTTTCATAATATCAAAAAAAGCTATGCAATATACCAGACATTACACAGTTATTGCTAAAAATAGATATAACATTTTTTTATAATTTAAATATATAGATAATAACTTTTCATTTGGAGTTTTTAGGCCTCCATAAGTGCTTTATTTGCAATCATATGTTAAAATCTGTGAACTATCCAAATCTTCACATTCTTTTGAAAATTTAATAAATGTATCACATCCATGTATGCCTAAAGCTTTTTTGATCAAATAGCCACAAACATATTTAAATGGATTTTGAACTATTATATCTTCTGTCCTGTAGCGTAATTAGGAAGAAAAACAGCTTCTTGAGTGTTTTTATTTATTTCAGGATACAGAGAGACAATATTTTTTACATCTAATTGTAGCAAGTGCTTGTCCAGGTCTTCATTACAATTCATGGAATTGCAATGAAGATAATTTTGACAAAAAAGTTTTTTAAATGCCCTTTCAAATTGTACAGATATTGGATTAATTAAATTCCCACCCTGTTGCCTAATGGACCCAACAAATTTTTCTAGACAGTCACTGTTGATTCTTCTAGCCATTAAATATTTAAATCTCGCAGCAGATAACCTTTCCCATACAAATTTTAAACCATAAAATAAACATCTAATTTTTATGATGTGACGTTAATAGTATTTAATTATATACATAGGTAATATAAGCAATTGGGCAGCATTGTGCTTAACGGGTGACTTACAACAGGCATTTGCTAAAACTCATCTGAAGTCAAAAATTTGTACGTAGGAACAAAAATTGAAATAAAATAATTCTTGTATTGTAAATTCATTAAAAACTTACTAATTTGTAATTGTGTGTTTTAATAAATATTGTTATGTTGTTTCACTTCTAAAAAGATACCTACATGACCTCATTTTAAATAAAAAAAATAAGGTGCTGAGTTAATTTATTAGTTCCAGGAAGAAACCAAAAAATGTTTAACACATTTCATACAATGAATGACATACAAAAGTAATTTATTTTAATCTAATGATAAAATTTTAAAATTGGCACATCTAGATTTTCACCGGAACTCATTTATTAAAGTTACACAATATTTTGATTAATTTATTTGCCTAGAATACATTAAAATGTTATATGTACATGTTTTAATTTTTTTCTAAGTGTACATCGCTAATTTGCAATTTTAGAGTTTACTTTTCTCCGTGTAGAAATAAGCGACAAAAACGTCAACCGTCATTGAAAATCTGACCACCCCGACATCAAAGAAGCCGACGCAATCTGTCGCTACTGTATTGTTCTTTATACTGGGGTTTAACACAACAGGTTTGTTCTGGTTCTCAAAATGAAAACTGTTTTGAAACTGCGCCGGACCGTATGCGTAAAGGCAAAAAATCCCCGACTGTTTGAAATTGTTGGAAAACCAGAACACGTCATAAAGGTGTTTTGTTTATTGTTTATTATAATAATGAAGTTCCTTTTGAAAGCTCAGCTTCAAATAACATTTGCATGTATATGTTTATCATTATCATCACATTTCAATGGAATAAATAAAAACAGAATATTAAAAAATTAATAATTCTAAAATTGCTTTAAATTACAAATAAAACAAGAACAAGAGACATTCGTCCACATATAAATAAACAATTTGGGATTGTATACGTTTCGTATGGTCTAAAAAGCCAATACAATATTCATAACACTTCAAAAACGCATGCGCGGTCAAAACAGTCCGAGTCGATCCACACTCCCAAGCATGAACACTTTTTGACTGTTTACAACAATCACGGATTATTTCGGATACGAAACCAGAACACTGGACTGAGAGATCCGAAGTAGTCCCAGAAAAACCAGAACACTTTTTATCTACTGCGCATGAGCCCGACAGTTGTGGATCGTTATTTCTCAAAACCAGAACAGACCTAACGGTAGAATCGGTCCTTAGGTACTTTAGGCATTTCTTTATAAGCTTACCAGAACATACTTCTGTAACCGGAGCATTTCTTTATAACGTTTGGTTACTCTGCTTTGGTTACATGTTACCAAAGCATATGTAGCTACATATAACGAGGTATTTATTTATAAGATAGAACATATACTATAATAAAAAAACACAAAATCAGAACATCCTAAAATTTCTAAAATTTAAATTCCGTTTAGAAATCCCCAAACTGTAACCAAGTATGTTGTAGTAAGCTTATAAAGAAATGCCTTTTAATTTTTATTTAAATTACTAAAAATTTTAGTACGTTTTTTTAAAATCTCGTACCTTTAATTTAAATTTTAGTACGTTTTTTGTCAGCATTGGCAACACTTAATAAAATGTCAAAGTGTCATGCAGTTTTTGTTTTGAGGTTGGTTAACCTGTGTGTTTTGTTGAAAATAAAAATGGCGGACTCAGAAAAAAGTATGTTGAAAAATTAAAATACATATAAATAAAAATGTTAATTGCTTTATATTTAACTATTTTAAAGGATAACGTTTATTATTCAACTAATTTATAAGTATTTTATTATTTTTAAGATTCTACCGAAGGGACTGTGAAGCCCGCATTGTTAAAACCAGCTATAATAATGAAGATAGATGGCCCAGATGAATCAAATGGAAAAGGTAAGTTTTTATTTAATTATTTTAAAGCAAGGCATGAATTTGATAGGTAGCACGTTAGTAAATAATGGTACAATCCAATTATATCTTATTTTAACAATTGTTTGATTATGAAAATAATGTTTATAGGTAGGTATTATCTAGAATTTTCTATTTCAGAAAGTGAAGAAAACGAGATAAACGTACAAAAATCTGAAAGCGAAGAATTTAAAATATGCAGTCCATCATTTCCACCTTCATCAATATCAAACAATCAGTTTACTTCGTATCAAAATAAATTATCCAAAGGGATTTTAAAGCCGCCTCAATTTAGTCTTAATAGCAACAATCTAACATCTTTTACTTTAAAACCCAGTCAACTTAATCATTTTTCAAAAAATTCATCAAATAGTGATAAACCGAATAGTGAAAAAACTGAAATTAGTGATTCAAACGTAAACGCTGTAAATGGCGAAACGCCGAAGTTCGTGCCTTTGGTTGTACCTGAAAAGACAATACAAACTGATAAAGACTCCAGCCAAAAGCCCGTCGAGGCCAAAGTTTCCAGCAGTTCCTTCGTTTTCGGAGAAAATTTAACGGAAAGAGCTGTGGCGAGTGAAAGTATGGATACTTCGAAAGCTTCAACCAGTTTAGGTTTGTTATATTATTCTTTTTATATTCACATCTATCATATTTAACTCTTATTTGAATCAAAACTTCCCAAAATAGACTCAAACCCTTGCAAATTCTACAGAATAGAGCAATCAGAAAAGCTTTTCAACTTCCTTTTTGTCATTCTACTGATCTTTTGTATCGTCCAAATAATATTCTAGACATTCAGTCCCTCTCTAAATATCAGACATGCATTTTTATTCATAACCTATCTCTGAATAATATACACTCATCCATACAACTGACTACTTCCTATGATATCCATAGATATAATACTGGGAATAATCACTGCTTCAGAACCACAGCTATAATAACATGCTTTGGTGACTGAAGCATACTATCTGATGGTCTAAGACAATACAATGCACTTCCTAGCACCATAAAGAACATAAGGACTGACTTCTTTAAAAAAAAACTAAAAGCTCACTTAATAGAATTTTCTTAGTTGATATCTTCATGTTTAAATAGGGTTTAAGTAATAGTGTGATATTAAATTATTGTATTTTTCTTTTTTTTTTTAATTATTAGTTATTTTGTAGTAGTATTGTTATTATTATACCTAAGCAGGTACCGAATTCTTCTTGTGATATGATATTATAAAATTTGTACCTTGTAAGACCCACATAGTCTTAAGCTCTGGGTCTAAATATACCAAATTGTATTCTTTTTTATTAATAAACTTGATGGAACTTTATATTGGTTGAAAATGGATTTATTTATTGATGAAATGGTTACAGGTTCAAATGGGACATCCGAAATGCTATTCAGCAACGTCATAAAACACGAATTGAAACAAGACGCCGTTACAAACGCGAAAGAAAAAGATACGAAATCGTTGAGCGAATCGGCGAGGGAATACGAGGAATCGAGGGCTAATAAAAGAAAATACGAAGAAGTGGAAGTCGTTACCGGCGAGGAAAACGAAACCAACGTCCTAAGTATTTCTTGTAAACTGTTTGCATTCAACAAAGTCTCCAGCAACTGGTTAGAATTGGGCAGAGGGACTTTGCGATTGAACGATCTCACCAACGAGGAATCCGAAGGTGATCAAATTGGTAGTAGGCTGGTGTTTCGAGCATCTGGGAGTTTGAGAGTCATACTTAATACCATAGTAAGTATATATTGATTTTTTATAAATACTCTGTATACAGCTTAGACTAGGTAATAAAGGGAGGACTCATAACACCGCTGAAAATATTGTTCGTCTTCAATAGTAAAGATTGGGAATCTACAAAAATGCAAGCCATACAAGGAATTGAACATGTAAAAAACTGGTTAGACGTTTTTAAATTATCCTTAAATATCAAAAAAACGAACTATATAGCATTCTCTAAAACATTAGCTGATCGCCCTCATTTTAAAGAAATAGTTACCAGTAATTTGGACTCTAAAATACAAGAAACAGAAACTTCTAAATACTTGGGTATAATTATAGACCAACATCTAAAATGGGACTCTCATATAGCATATATATCAAAAAAGCTTAGATTTATAATCTATAAATTTTATCTTTTAAAACAATTTCTTAACCAAAATCTCTTAATAAGCCTATATTTTAGCTTGGTAGAATCTATTCTACGTTATGGTATACTAGTATGGGGAGGCCTATATGAAACAACCCTTAGACCACTAAATGTCATACAAAATAAAATACTGAAAATTATTTTCAACAAACAGCGATTATATCCTACTATTCTACTATATAATGAAACAATATCTAATGTTAGAAGTTTATACGTGAACACAATATGCTGTTACATACAAAAACATGAGGTACTAAAAAGCCTCTGGGTCATCAACATAAAACCAGAACTTTTAGTAACTTGAATATTAAAATATCTATGCCTAATAGTGAATCTTTCAAAAATTGTATAAATTACTTAGGACCAAAGTGTTACAATGCTTTACCTCCTGAGATCAAATTAATTAACAAACAACATTTATTTAAGAAAGCGTGCAAATCCTTCATCTACCAAAACTACTCAAAATTGTATAGATTCTTCTTAGAATAACACACATCTCACTGTAATATGTTGGAACCCTGTAGATTACAAGATTATAACATTATTACATATTATATAATATAACATTGCTGCCTTATTACATTTAACATTTATATAAAAATACATACATACAACTTTATATTTTAGTTTTTTAATCTTTATGTATTAGTTTTTTAGTCTGTCTAGCACATACAGGTGCCCACACCTAGGTGCTAACTTATTTACCTATGATCACCAACGATATTTAACCAAAGGTGTGTAACATGTTGGAAATAAAAAATTGAACTTGTATTTATGTTATTAGTACTTTATTGATCTTTTTACTTATAAAGCAAGTTTAAAGTGTAAAATTTAAAATAAATAAGACTCAAGAAAAAAAATATGTTGAAATAAACTGAATGAAATCGTTTACATAATAAAATGAGTGTTTTTTTTTTTAATTTCCGCAAAATAAGACAATGATCTACATGTATTACAAAAAGATTTATTTTTAGTTAATAAAGAATGACACTATCCAGATAGCACAGACACGTTTTAAAAACGTTTGTTCATGACGTTTTGAAGATGTACGCTAGTATCCAAATGATGTTTTAAATGCGTCTATAAGAGGTACATTTTTATAAAACCAGGCGTCTTTAGGAAATCCAATTTTGTACGTCTTTAAGACATCCATTTTGTTCCATCTTTAAGAGAAACCATATTGGATGTGTTTAAGCCGTCTATTTACTTGATGGAAATTCGATTAAAAAAATAAATAAATACTTGTCTACTATATTTAATACATCATTAAACTATTAAAACTGACACATAGAGTAAATATTATTTTACAGTGTTGGATAAAATAATTAGAAAATGAGTTAAAGTACTTTTTGCTATGAGAAACTATTCCCGGAAATCCTACTTTTTTTCAGGTTTGGTCGATTTAAAAACTTCTTTTATAGTATTAATTTTAACCAAAGAATCTGTAACTAATGTCCTCGTAGCATATAATTTTGTCGAATTGTTATTTTAAGGTGTTTTTTTTTAAATAAGACGTTATTAAAGGGAGGTTATGAAATTAAAAGGCAAATAAATTAAAACTTACCGTTTTTAATGTTAAAGTTTACTAGTTCCAGTATACCACAGTTCCAATAATGGCAAATAAATAATATAAGAAGACTATATAAAAACACACTATAAAAACACTGATGCTAAAAATATTATAGAATGGCTGTCCCGAGAAGAAGGCAGCCAGAGGAAGAACACGACTCAATACTCACGTGCGAGAATATGCAATCATGTGCTGCAGGCAGCGCCAAGAACGGTGTCGTGGCGCCATATTCAAATATAGCGAAAAGAGTTGAACGTCCACATTACCGACATATTTAAAACGTCCTAAAAACATCTCAACAAAGACGTTTTAAACATATACTAAGCAGGGCATCTTAAAACCGTCCATTTTACGTATCAGGATGTTTGGACGAAAGTAAGACATGAACTGGATGCTTTAAGATGTAGTATGCTATCTGGGTATTATTAAATTAAGCTAATAAGAAAAATTATACATAAATGAAGATAAATTTATGACTGACCCTTAAATAATACTAATTTGGTATAACAAGAAGTTTTAGCGAAACAACTCTTTTTTTATATCTTTTAAGTTTTTGTTTAAGAACTTTGATTTGTCTAGTTTTTTCTTTATTCTTTTCTACCTGTTGTAAAGGTTGTCTTCTAAGCCGTTTTATGCTAGAGCTTTCTAGGATAGATTCCTTTTTTGCAGTTCTATTTGAAGGGCCTGGCTCAGTTTCCAAATGCAATGCTCTTCTCTTTAAGTCGTACAATCAATTATTACAGTAATGTATTGAATTATACACAAAAGGGTTGCTAAATTCTTAAAAGTGCATAACATAATAATGAAAAGTAATTAAAAAAATATATATGTTTAATTATGTTTATTAGTATACGCACATTCTTCGGTTGCATGTATTTAGGGTATTCAGGAAATATAGTGGGAACTGCTTCATTTAGTAAACGTCTTTCAAAATGTTTTGATCACAATCTATCATTTGCCGTAGGCATCCAATTTGCAATTTCCATTGCTTGAACTTTTTTTTTGCTGATCCACAGGAAATCTAAAATAAAACAACAAATAAACATTACTGCAATTAAATAAAAAGCAAAAGTAAATTATTATTTAATGAAAGTTAATATTTAGAATTGTACGACACGCCACTGGAAAGAATTACTTGTTTGGCCATTTTAATATCATAAATATGACATAAATGGGGTCCTACTGCAATGGATTAGTAGCTATCTTACGAACAGAACTCAAATGGTTAGAGTAAACCACCACTATTCTAACTCATTTCAAGTTACCTCAGGTGTTCCTCAAGGATCACACCTTGGTCCCTTATTATTCAACTTATTTATAAATGACATCATTCATTGTTTTCAGTATGGCATAGCACTATTGTTTGCAGATGATTTAAAAGTTTTCCTAACTATTAAAACCATTTATGATGCCCTATGTCTTCAGTCTGACCTTGATAATCTATCAAACTGGTGTTCCTTAAATGGCATGGATTTGAATGCTATAAAGTGCCATGTCATCCGCTTTTATCGGTCCCACGTACCAACTGCTACTTTTGATTATAACTTAAATGGCCATCTCTTGGAGTCTGTTAATCAAATTAAAGACCTTGGAGTTATTCTAGATCCGACTTTAAGCTTTAATCAACACATACGTAAGGCTATCCATAAATCCATGAAAATGCTAGGTTTTATCAAAAGGCTAACACATGATTTTACTGACACAACTGCAATTAAAGTCCTTTATTGTTCACTAGTCCGACCTCACCTAGATTATTGCTCTTCTGTCTGGTCTCCACATTACATAAGGCACAGCAGAAACATAGAAAATGTGCAACATAAATTTCTTAGATACATAGCCAGTGGCGTATATAGGAATTACTTTTTGGGGGGGGGGGGGGGGGCATACGAAAATAAAAATTTTCATTTAATTATATATTAGTATATATCTACAAAAAAAAATGTTACACTAAAAAGAAAACTGAAATTAAAATTGAATACAACTGTCGAAGTTATATCCTGCTTCAAAAATTAAGATTTCTATTTTTCGTCGCGAAGTCGTCTACAACTTCGTCAATATTAATCTCAATGTTTCGATGTACTGACATTAAAGCAAGCCCTACTAGTCTATCTTCCCCTGTTCTATTTCTTAAGTAAGTTTTTAATCTCTTGAGAGTCGAGAAACTCCTCTCTGAAGAAGCTGTGCTTACTGGCAGTACTGCTAACATAACTAATAATTTATTTATATTCGGAAACATATCTTCTGCACACTCTTGTAGAGCCTCCACAACAGTCCTTATTGGTTTTTCAAAATTGGCACATTTCATCTGCCATAATTCGAATTCAGCACGCAACATTGATTCATTGTTAGTGTTTAGATCATCAGAGTATTTTTCAATTGCAGGCAATAAATGCTTAAACTCATTTGTCTTTGTATTAACAGGGATTAACGTATCCAAAGACTGCCCTAAAAAACGTTCCCCAAGTGAGCGTATTAGGTCTTCAATAATTGGAATAAATAGTGAAACTCTATAATACTGTTCTGCATTTTCAGCCTGATAATTCTCGCGATGCTTTTGGGTGCCAACACGTCTCGGTAGACCTATTTCAATGTTAAGTTCTTCTGCTAACTTAACAGTGTTTGTGAAAATTTGTTGAAACTCTTTTTCGGCATTATTTCTTATGTTTTCTAAAGCATCAGATGCCTGGCCCACTCGTTCTAAAGCAACCACCAAGTCTATGTTTTTTGATTGCAGATATTCTGAAAGTTTGTATGTAAACGCCAAAGTTATCTCCATTATGTTTAAAGTTATTATTACTTGGACCAAAGTTGAAAACTGCATTTTGAAAAGAGATGGCTTTTCCAGAATCATCAGCCCCACTGCTGATTAGGGGTCGTCCATTAATTACGTGAGGTATTTTTGAGGATTTTTTGACCCCCCTCCCCCCTTGGTGAGAATTCGTAAGATTTTCCTAAACTCCCTCCCCCTCCCCTAATTTTACGTGAGATTTTTCAAAATTTGTGTTTTGGATGCAAATGCATTGGATTATTAAAAAAAATAAAAACACAATATGGTCTATTACTTTTATTTAAGACTAGCAAAGACTAGTATTTGAGAATATTACTGTAATATAAAATTTCTAGAAACGTTCTTTACTTTAATTTAACTTTACTTTCACGCAACTTTACACCGTTTTCTACTAGAAAAAAATTACGTCAGAGCCCTCTCTCCCCAAGTGAGATTTGGAAAGATTTAGCTTGATCCCCTCCCCCCTTGAACCCCTCACGTAATTAATGGACGCCCCCTTATATTCTCTAAGGCATGATATATCTCGGTAAGGGCATCTGAGAATATAGCTATGGCTTCGTGTCTTTCCACCCACCTAGTTTCGCAATATTTTTCTAGAGAAAGATGCTTTTTGTTTGAGCTACTTAGTTTACTTTTTAAAATCTGGCTGCGTTTCGCAGATATGCGAAAGTAGGTACATACTTCTCCAAGGGTCCCTATGACATTTTTACTTGCGGAATTTTTGACGCATCGTTCAGGCACAAATTTAAGCAATGCGATAAACAGTGCGTGTAAGGCTTTAGGATACTCTGCTGATACGATACTTTGTACTCCCCTAAATGCACCTCGCATAGTAGCAGCACCATCATAGCCTTGTCCTCTCAAGTAATTGAGATCAAATCCAAGAGAAAATAACATCTTCTTTAATATGTTTGCTAGTCCTTGGCCCGTGACATCCGTAACAGGAACGAAAGTGAGGAAGTCTTCTTGGATTCCCTTTACAGATTCGTCGTAATACCTCACGCATAGAGAAAATTGCTCTTGTCGAGAAATGTCAGTGGTTTCGTCCGCTAAAACACTGAAATATTTCGTAACTTGGACGCGTTCTAAAATTTTTCTTTGAATTTGAGAGCCTATTATTGAAATAAGTTCATTTTGAATTACTGGAGATATATACATGCTTCTGCTTCCTGATGATAGGATATGTTCTTTAAAACCAGTATCTCCACACTTAGCACGGAATCTACACAAGGTTCTGAAATTGCCATCATTAGATTCTGGAGCTTCCAAAGTCAATCTGCCAGAATCTCTGTGACCCCTAAGACCTATTTCTTGTTGTCCACAAAGAATTAGTATTTCTACAATTTTTTTTAAGTTATCTTGATTTTTTGGCATTCTTCCAAATTCTTCTTTGACAAAACTGTGAATATATCATTATTCTGCTTATTGGTTGCTATGAAATTGTCGTATTTTACCGCACAATTTAAGTGATATTTTGTTTTTGAGTGACCATTAAAATACTCGATTGCGTCTTTCCATTTCGTAAACGGACAGAAACCAGTGATTTTGCCCTTTCGTGAGAACCTTTGCCAATTTGTTCAAAGTTGTTTCAAAAAAAGACACAATATTTACAAAATGATCCACGTAACTGGAGAGAATATGCAAGCCACTTATACTTAAGCAGCCAATTAAATTGAAATCTTCTTTTTTTGTTGCCAATTACTTGCAAACTCTCTTCAAATTCAAAATTTTTATCCGGAATCCAAATTTTCTCCATAATATCAAACTTAACATAATCTGTTAAGTTTGCCTTACCAACGTAGTTGCCGATATCAAACATATTTGGCACAGCTAATTCTTTTTCTTTCTAAAAATTGAGAAAACATCTGTAATGAATCAGTAATTAATTTGTTGTAGATTGTAATATTACCCGTGTAATTCTTTCAGATTCTTTGTTTTCCATTACAGCAGAAGACGAAGTGCTTGGTTGACAATCAGTGAAATTCGTACGATTTTCACTAATATATTCTGATACTATAGTCTGATCCGTCCTATCCGCCTAAAGCGAAAAGAAACAATGTACTACTAAGTTGACTATTGTACAAAGTTAGCAAAGCTTACCAAGTTTTCTTCGGAAGTAGCAGCAGTTTTTGTCCTTTTAGAAGAAAAGAATGCATACAAATCTTTCTGGCGTTTGTTACTCATGCTTTCTTCTTGATAACTAAGCCTTATTTCAAACGTCACCAACGCAAAATTTATAAAAAGCACTTCGCTATAATCAGTCAATGACCATCAAACGCGTGACAGAAAGCGTAGACCTCTCGTCAGTCGTGAATCAACCAAGCAACTGAAATCGGTCAAGCGTAGTGTTGCCAGATCGAAACATGTACTGTCCGTATTACGTTTAACGAAATGTCCGTAGATGAACAAAAAAATCCGTATTCAAGCAAAAATTGATCTGTCTTGGAGGTTTTTTTTTTTAGAAAAATATTGCTAGCAAATATATTTTTGGCGGTATGTTCTCCTAGAACACTGCCTAATATTATGTATTATATATTTTATAATTTCAAAATTCTTGTACCTACATACTTGGCGATGGAAATTGGAAATAGGTAATTTTTTAATTCACAAAGGTAATTTGTTTTATGAAAATCCGTATTTTTGAAAAATAATCCGTACGCCCGTAGAATACACTGGAAACCCGTAGAGCCGTAGATCTACGGATTAATCCGTAGCTCTGGCAACATCGGTCAAGCGACTACTACCTGTTGCTATACGGCACGCCAGGAATCCCGCCTGCGCCTTGTTTAGAGTCAGTTTTGGCGTTGGTCAAACTACAAATAGGACGCGTTCATAGTCATTTCGAGTCAAGCGGCTGCATATTATCATATTCATTATGCGCTGGGCACAAAGAACAAGCGAAAAAGCAGAAAATATTATATTCTACGTAAAAAAAATCGTTCGTTCGGGGGAGGCCCGGGCCTCTCTCGACCACCCCTTATATACGCCACTGTACATAGCCTATAAATTGGGTGTCCTTTGTGAGTATGATTTGATAGATAATTTTCTAAACATCCCCTCTTTGGAAACTAGGAGGAAACAGAGAGACCTGACATTACTTTTCAAAATTATCAATGGTAGATGCAGCTGTACTGAACTTCTAACTAAAATAAATCTTTATGTTCCAACGCGCTCAACTCGACAGCAACAAACATTTTATATACCTTTTTATCGTTTGAATCATACTTTTAGCAGCTGTATTCCAAGAATGTTAAGATTAGCCAACACTCAAAACGATCTTGAGATATTTAACACCCCCTTTCATAAATTTATAAAGCAATTACTTAGTACTGAGCTTTAATTTTTGATCTTTAATTTTTAATGTTTAATGTAAATATTTTATTCAACCTTATTGTCTTTTGTGTTTTAAATCTTTTAAACTCTTAACCTATTTTATGAATTATATCACGATTGTATTTCAGCACCATATATATTTCACTATATTTTAATTATAATTTTAAAATTTTAATTTATTTCTAAAATGGGCTTGCCCGTCAATAAATAAATAAAAAAAATTGCTTAAATATCAATGAAAAGCATAAAATAAACAAATTTGGTGGGTAAAATTTATTACTCTGGAATGAGACATGTACAATATGTAAATACCAAGTTGTATAACACCAAATAAAATGACAAATATAAGAAAATATATAAAGTAAAAACGATTGAAGTTTGTCATTTAGCTGCGAAACGTAATGTTTACCTCTTTCTTGCCGCTATAACTTTTACACTGATATGCCACACAATAAACCATTGCAATAGTTCTATAGATATTAATGCAATATATAAACCACCACCAATTCCAAAGGTAGATTTTATAAAAGATATTCATGATCATTTAACCCGAGAACGCTCGCGCCTAAAAAGTTACGTTGATGTTCGCGGTCGGTCTTTTTGCCGACTAGGAAACTCTTAATATTTTTAGGATTTGTTATGATTATTAAAGGTATTTAACTATTGATATACTTTTTATTGAAACTTTATTGACTATAAACATAAGGTAGGTATGTTTTTGATCAAAAATAAAAATGACAAACTCGTAATAAGAAAAAACAAAGTGATATATTTAATTAAAAAAAAAGTTGCTAATATTCCTCATTTCCTAAGCATCTTACACATATGTCTACCCTGCGTTCCTTGCAAATATATCTTGAACAAGTTTGACAGGTTGTGGTGGTTTTCCTATTTTTCTTTGAGCTACAATATCCACATCTTCCTACAGCACTATCAGCTCTTGAGGTTGGCGGCACAGGAATTCTAAGTACGTTGTGAATACTGGTGCAAATATTCAATGGTATATCCATTGTCAACCGTCTATGTATATGCTCAGAACATAATTCCTTGGCAAGGCTCCTCAAAAATTCACGTCTCTTTAAATTTGCTTTGGTGTTGAACTCATAAATGACCTGGCTGTTGATTCCGACAATATTCATTTCACAAAAGAAAATTGTTAGTGGCCACCTAGCAGTTTTTCGCGAAACTGAATAACTGCCTTTCATCTCGTCGACTTTATCTACACCATCCTTGGTTTTATTATAATACAATATAATTTTTGGTTTTCTGTTCACATCATCTTCAACCTCACCCTGATAATGCATCGTCGATATCAATGCAACCGTCTTACCTTTTTTGGGTATATAGGAAAGCAGAGTTGGGTTATTAGTAAATCCAAAAATTGTGCTCTTCACTTCCCTTTCTTTAGAATCGACGAATTCTTTTGGAAGCTCTCTTTTATTTCTTCTGATAGTCCCGACAATTGTTAAATTTTCCTTTAGTAAGTCTTGAGCCAGATCAATTGAAGTGAACCAACTGTCCATGGTTAGGTTAGGGCCAACAAGCCGCTTGACAACGTTGGTAGGACTATTATTTAACATAAAAGGACCGTCTGGCTGTTTCCCAGCATAAATTTCCATATTATAAGTTAATAGGAACGTGAGTCGGCTAAAGAAAAAATTTTAATGCCATATCGGACAGGCTTACTTTTTATGTATTGCCGGAAACCGCAACGTCCTCGAAAACTTTCCAGCATTTCGTCTATTGTAGTATCTGCTCCAATAGTGTAATTTTCTTGACATATTTTTACAAATCCTTCAAACGAATGCCTGATGAGAGCTAACTTATCTGTTGTTTTTCGAGCTTCTCGGTCATGTATATTATCGAACCGGATACAGCGCATTGTGAACTGAAACCTTGACAAAGTCATAACACATTGGAAGTATTCTATCCCTGTACCATCACTGGCCCATAAATCCGAAAGATTTAGGTGTGAAGCACGTGAAACGCCGGCCAACTACAACAATCTCATAAATGCTCTTACTTCAATGACGTCTGTATCTCTGGCATCTCTTTCCCGTGTATAGTTAGCACGAACGGACTGAATTTTTATATTTGTACATACCACTATTTCTTCTATAACTTCATCAGTGAAAAATAACTTCCAGGAGGATAGTGGCGTTACAGCAAATTTCGATTTGTTTGTAGGACCTTCACGAAATCTTATAATATTAGCTGGTTTTGTTTTTGCGACACGGCTTATCGGAGGATATTTACACCACAGATTTTACCACATAATTATCAAGGCGCTGAGACAAAGGCACATCGTCGTATGAATCATCATCACTACTGTCATCATTCTGATCAGGGTCTGACCGTTCTGAGTTCGTATCATGGTCGCTTTCTTCTAGAATATCTGCTTCAGAGTCTTAATCACCCCCCAACTATCTCTTCGTCTGTTGATACTTCCTCACACAATCTTTGTAAACGGATTTCTTTTTCATAATACATTCTACAAAATAAATACATACAATAACACGTATATCTAAAAAGTTATCTGTTATTATCTATTTGATTTTGCCACATTTATTTGATTGGAACCCTCAATTTCCTTGTAAACAATAAATAATTTGGTACAAACCTTAAAATGCTCGCGTGTCGATTAAAACGACCAATTGTCAATTCTAGCAACACTCTCTGACAAAAACCAAAAGTAGACTGGCCCGCCGGGTCGACTCAGGAGTAGTGATGGGCAATTCGAATTCAAAATCATTCGAATATTCGAATTATTACTGTAATTCGAAATGTCTCGAATTGCCTAGAGATGATTCGAAACATTTTAGACTTTTCAGGCTATTCAGCAAATAGTGTAAATCGGCGATATCAGCATTATTCTTTTTTTAATTTAAGGGGCCTCAACTGCCGGATCTATTCGGCATAATTTATATCATTTAGTAGAACTGACAATTGGCCGAATAGTCCCACCATCTGTGGCCTGTAAATAACCTAACCTCAAAAAAAGTTAAGTTTCATAAAAGTATATAATTAAAAATACATTTATTTTACTTTTCCAAACTGTAATTAGCTTTTTTAATAGGTCCTATTGGTTTTTTAACAATTGCAAAAAGTAGGAATAAAATAAAATTGCAAAATTTACGTACAAATATCAACTTGTTTTTATTAAATTAAAAATAAAAAACCCAAATAAACTGTAAAATAAATAAATAATGTTAATTCTGTAACATCCCAAAATTAAACTAAACTTCTCAGTTAAAACTATAAAAAGATAAATAAATAATACATTCTGTAAAATCCTAAATTTTAAAATTCACTTCTTAGTAAAAACAACAAAAAAGAGCTAAAATGACACTTCTAAGTAAAAACAAAAAAAAAATGCCTTCTTCACCATGTTAGACATAAAAAAGTTAAATAATTTGGAATAAAAATATCTAAAGACTGTTTAAAAAAATAATCTCATTGAGTCTCTTGGGATTCAACCTATTCCTTCGAACATTTGTTATTTGACCTGCTTTGGAAAAAACACGCTCAGAAGGAACAGATGTGGCAGGAACACTTAAATATTGACATGCTAAAGTTCTGGAAACACATTTTTGTGTTCCTGCCAAAATTCTAGAGGATTTTCCTTACGATCCAAGTAAGGTAATTCGGTATATTGCCTTATCGTAATTAGTGCATCACTACTGGTCGTTGCATAATTTGTATTTTGTTTGACTTTTTTTTGAAAATGACTCCACAAATTTTCTTCAGAATCACGTACCTCTTGATTGCTTGATGTGCTTGTACTTGGAACATCTGTTATTTGTTCGGCATCTTTTTTTTCTAGGTTTTCTTTATTTTTCTTATTTATAAGTTTAATTAAATCTTCAGTGACCCACTTTTGAGCATTCTCAGCATTTCTTTCGATTCCAAATCCTAGTTTTTTAAATCGAGGATCCAAAAATGTACTTTTTGCACTTATTTTTGTTATAGAATCTAAAAAAGTTTGTCTTAATTTTTCAGAACATTCATTAGTCATTGGCAAACCATTTAATGAATGTTGTAAACCTCTTAACAGAGGAATTATACCTGACAATGTTGGATATTTTTCTCCGGAAATAATTTTAGTTAGTTCGTCCGCTGGTTTTAGTATTTGGACTATATCTCTCAACATGGCCCAATCAGCAGAATTTAATTGCGGAGGTGCATTTCCAATTTCAGCCAGTGCTAAAATCAGTGGATCCTTTAATATTAGTATTCTATCTATCATCAAATAAGTTGAGTTCCACCTCGTTGCTACTTCTTGTTTAAGTTTTAATAGGGGAAGATTCATATGTTCTTGAACTGTCCTTAGCTTCTGGCTGGACAACACACTATGTTTAAAATGTGTCACAATTGTTTTACACTTATTTAATAATATTTCAATAGTTTTATTGTTATTATCTTTTAATGCATCCATCACTGCTAAATTTAAAGTGTGGGCTAAGCAAGATATATGATTTTTTTTCATAATGTCTATAACAGCATTTTTCATATTGGACGCATTGTCTGTAACAACTACAAACACTTTTTCGAAGATTTCCCAATCTTCTAATGCTTTCTTTAATGTTTTCCCAATATTATCAGCAGTATGATTTCCTAACATTTCTATAGTAGAAAGAACGTTTGAATCTAATTTTTCTGACTTATCTGAAACATAATGAGCTGTAATTGTATAATAGGATTTGTTGCTATCAGAACTCCAAAAGTCTGTTGTTATTGATATACTAAATACGCTGTTTAATTTTTTTTTTAGTTGTATATAATTTTCATTATAAGCTTTAGGGAGAATCTCATAGGTAATTTTTTTTCGACTTGGAAGTTTGTAAGACGGTTGTAGTTTTTTACAGAACTCCTGAAATCTTTTATCTTCTACTATAGATAGTGGTTGAAAATCTAATTTAATTAATTTTAATAAAGCCCCATCAAGGTCTTGTGCTTCTGATGCCTGTTGTTGGAAATCTTTACTATAGACTCGAAATTGTAATTGTTTTTGCTTTTTAACCGTTTTTTGGGGTGGCTCATCATCACTGCTTTCTTCACGACTAGCGTTTTTTTTTTTAATAGTACCGCTTTATGCATCCGATTCAAATGCTGAAGTAAATTTGTAGTATTGCCAAAATATTTAAAAGTTCTTTTACAAATATTACATTGTAGCTTGTTTTTCTCTAATTTTTGAAAATATTCCCAAACTTCGGACTTTAACGGAGGAACCATCTTTTCTATTTAAATGTACCTAAATTTCCAATACAAAACATAAAACTAAAATCTAACATAAAATAACCAAGTTTTTTCTTCTTTTTTACCTCTAAATACAAATGTAAATAAGAAGAAGAGAATTCGAATGATCATTCGATTATTTATATTTTTATTATTATTATGCCCGTCACTACTCAGGAGGACTCCAAAGCGCGTCGGACAATGACGGCCCAAATAAATGTGGGAGGGGGAAAATATATGCTTGGCGCCAAAAAGACCGGGGTGCGAGCATTCTCGGGTTAATTTCGCTGGGAAACTCGAATAACTTAGAACTACTAGTGGGTGATACAAATTTTAATATACTAGATGCAATAGATAATGAAAATTTTAATTATATATCTACATTGTCGGAACTTGGATTTACCTCATATATAAACACTATTACACGAAAGAGTTGTTTAGATCACATATTTGATAAACAAGTCCAAAGGCCAAATTCATTTGAATTTCAAACTTTCGTTCTAGACCATCACATAACACACCACCTTCCAATTATGATTAACATTTCGCCAAAAAAAGTCATTACTGAGAGAACTCACAGATCAAACAGAACATAAAAATAAAATTCTATAATTAAAACAGATATAGATAAATTAAAACAAACACTGAATAACCAGGACTGGTCACCCATAACAAAATGATGATAACCCAGAAACGGCTACCAATAAATGTATCTCGATCTTTAAAAACAACTCTAAAACAATACAAAAAACGTAAAAATTGAATATCTAATGGCTTAATAACATCTATAAAACACAGAGATAGATTAAAACGAAACCTGATAAAAAATTATCGCATAGAACTAGATAAAGAATATAAATCATATCGAAATTATCTTCAAAAGCTAATTACACCGGCACAAAAAAAAAAGTTGCAATATCTTTAAAAACTCATGTATGAACTGAATGAGGCGAAAGATTTTGTCAGATTTTGAACTGTTTTTTGTTGGTATCAAACTTTTTTGTTCTCAAATGACCTCCGCAGTATTCAGCGAATCGAAATACATAAGAATTATGCTTGGTTTCGATTCATAATTTTTTTTTATTACTAATTATCTTATTTTTACTATTTTTACAATTTACTCGATATTGAAGGGTGGACGGCCCAAACTGACTTGAAATTCGGATTCAGCGGGTCAAAATACATGCCGATAGGTAGATCGTGTCTAATGTACAAACAACTTTTTTTTTGTGTGCCGGTGTTATTAAACAAAAAAATTAATTTTACCAAAATGAAATCAACAAAAACAACATAAAGAAATTATATCATATTATAAAGGAATGTACAAATGAAAACCAAACTAAAAATGAACAAATTATAATTCACAGAGATGACAGCACATAATTTAAAGATAACACGGATATGGCAAATTACTGCAATAATTACTTTTCTGAAATACCCCAATCCACATTCTCTTTTTCTATTCCCAATAAACAGAAATGATTTAATTACTCACATCTCTGCATTAAAAACAAACAGTGCTCTAGAGATCCTTGTACCTCTAACCCTCTTCTTTAATTTGTGCTTTGAAACAGGGACAATTCCCGGTTTTGTCAAAGTATTTGAAAAAGTTCTAAAACAAAAATTAATTGAATTCTTAAATCAGTGTAACATTCTACATAAAAATCAGTTCGGATTCTTGGCAGGTTGTAGTACCAACGATGCACTATATGAATTTACAGCAAAAATAATGGAAAACCTTAACACTGGTAGGAAATGTGCAGGATTATTTATTAATCTGGCTAAGGACTTTGACATGGTTCCACACAACAGGCTATTAAATTCTCTTGAGCATTATGGGGTCAGGGGCGCTGCGTTAAAGGTATTTGAGAACTATTTAAGAAACAGATATCAACTTGTTAAAATAAATGGCGCATACAGTGAAAGACACAAAATAGTAATTGGAGTACCTCAGGGAACGGTCTTGGGACCAATTTTGTTGTCGAGTACCTAAATTCACTCCTGGGAGTGGATATTGAGGGAACAATAATTTTCTTTGCTGACGATACCGTCGTTAGTTTTTGATGGAGTAGACTGGAATGATGATAAAAACAAAATGATAACCGGCTCAACATGCCCACAATACTCTTTCATTATAGTTGAAAACAAAAAAATTAATGAAGTCTCAAAAATAAAGTATTTGGGGGTTATTGTAGATCAGTACATGAAGTGGCATGAACACATAAATTGTATTTCTAATAAAATTCGCAAACTAATTTACAGATTTTATTGTTTAAAATACGTTTTAAATAAAAAAATTTAGTCATAATATATAAATCATTTATTGAATCATTAATAAGATATGGAATTTTGGTTTGAAGAGGTTCATATGATAATGCATTATACAAATTAAATATAATACAAAAGAAAATACTAAAAATCATCTATGGTAAGAATAGAATGTATTCAACAGAACTGCTGTTTACAAATGATACTTGCAATATCAAAACCATCTACATGTCAACAATATGCAGTTACATACATGCTCGAATTTCCCTACAATACATTGTAAATCATCAATATCACACAAGAAATAAAGTAAATAAAAAAATTAGTATACCGGTGAGTCACAGAAACATTAACCTAAAATTTTTTTAATTATTTAGCACCGAAAATTTATAATATGCTACCAGGCAAAATAAAAAGTATCAAAAAACAAATTGTTCTCAAAAGAATGTAATACATATATCTTTAACAATTATAACTTGTTTAAAGAATTATTTAAATAAAGTAAAGAATGCTATAGTCTGTTGTATATAGAAATAATTTAAAACATTGTAATAGGGCTTTAAGAGACTTGAGATAGTTTTAAAATTACATATAAATAAATGTACGAATCGTAATGAGACACATACAGATGCATCTAGGCGTCTACGAGAAAAGGTATATAACTTAAGATAATATTAATTGGTTGTAACATTAGGGTGTATCATTTTTAAGCAACTTTTTTTTTTTAACTAAAAAACAGGCTAAAAACTTTCAGGAAGGTGAAAAAAGAAGCCTCTAAAAATTTGAGCTCTTAATATTATCATTTAGTGGTGCCTGTTTTTAACTTTCCATTTTCCATCTAAATAATATGGAATTTTTTTTTCTTTTTTTTTGTAGCTTGATATTTGAGCATTGTAAAAATAAAGTGAAACATTATTTTGGTAGGTAATTGAACGCTCTACAAAAAGTTCTAATATATTTTTTTCATAGAGTGAGTCGTTGTGAAGATATTCAAACTTAAAGTTGCAAATGTCTGAAATTAGGACTTTTATTTTATTAAACTGATGACTTTTTTATGTCTTAAAAATTATTTTCAAGGAAACATCATTATTTTCATATAGAAAGAAAATAACGACGCACAGAAGACAAAAATTCAACAGAAATATTTTTAAACAAAAATATGAGTGACTTTGTTTCAAAACAATCAAAACTTTTTGACAAATTTGATTTGCCGTACGACTTTCTGGATGCAGATGTCCTAATTTGGCCAGATAATGAAAGTTATCAAGAGAATTTGGAGTTTTTCGAAAAATTGGAAGTTGTCAATGACGTTGCAGGACATGGCGTCGCATTAGTAGAAGAATATAATAGATGCCTAACTAAAGATGAGGAACAATTTTAATATTTATTACAAGTGGTAAAGGAGCACCGACGAAAATATCCAAATTGTAATAAAAAAACTTCAACAAATATAGTTACATTTAATTCTGATAAGACATTAAAATATCTATTAGTTTCAAAATTTTAGGATTATAATTGTTAAAAAGTCTATAAAATAATAATTTTACTGAATCTAATTCATAATTACTTTTGTTTAACAGTTAATCAAATAATATCTAAGATGTATTTTTTTTTATTTTAGCTTTCTAATTAGCGCACAAAAACCAGTTTTCTGATTAAAAATAATTTTTAAGACATAAAAAAGTCATCAGTATTAGTTTAATAAAATAAAAGTCTTAATTTCATACATTTGCAACTTTAAGTTTGAATATCTTCAGAACGGCACACTCTATGAAAAAAATATATTAGAACTTTTTGTAGAGCGTTCAATTTCCTACCAAAATAATGTTTCACTTTATTTTTACAATGCTCAAATGTCAAGCTACAAAAATAAGAAAAAAGAAAAAAAATTTTCCCTGTTATTTAGATGGAAAATGAAAAGTTAGGAACAGGCACCACTAAATGATAATATTAAGAGCTCGAATTTTTAGAGGCTTCTTTTTTCACCTTCCTGAAAGTTTTAAGCCTGTTTTTTAGTCAAAAAAAAAAGTTGCTCAAAAATGAAACACCCTAATAATTATGTAACAATTTTTGTATTTTATAGAATAAATAAATTATTAAATGTCGTTTAATTTGTGA